GAGGTTAAATATCAGATTCCGCCCAATCGGACACTTTTACATCTGGGTAATGGAGTAAAAAACGTCATTTTATGTCGCACTTGACAATAGAATATTGTTTTTCCCCTACTCCTTGCTATTAAGTACTTTCAATATTGGGCGATCATCTTTCTAATCTAATAACAATAGGATATAAAGATAAGAAAAGGATACTTGTAAAGATTTCTTTAAAAATATGTCACTTTTTTCACGATATTAACAAGAATCCAAAAAAAAGAAGAGAAAGAAGAGAAAGAAGAAGACAAGTTCAGATCATAGTCCAAAACGTATAAAATAACCTTAAAATTTTTAACAAAACGATTTCTTATTCTTTTCAAGTTCAATAGTGAAAATATAAGAAAAATTCATATACAGTATATTGTCTATATACGTTTCTGCATAGTATATATCTACTGTATATAATCATTGAGCAACTAGCCACATGTGTTTAACCAAATGCGTTATATCGTATTACAATCATAGGGTCGGAAAACTCTGGAACTGCAATACATTTTCTCCAGATTAATTGATAATATATATCAGAACTGAGTCTATTTTTTCCTTTATTTGTGTATAATTTCAATATTTATTTACAATTTGCAAAGTTATATTACCTCTCTTTCAAGTAATATTACTTAATATTTTAATTTTCTCTATAAACCTTCTTCAGTTGTGTATATACTATACTTTCTTTTCTTTTCTTTTTGTTATAATTTACATGAAATTAATGATCTATTCAACACGTGTTCTAAGTTCCTTTGGCAAAGAAAGGAGGGAATCTTGCCTTTCAACAAGTTAAATTATCCCAATTTTTCATTAAAGAGAAAACAACGACTGCTTATTCTCTTCTTTCTATTATTTTCGTTTTTTTCTTCTATTTTGTTTTAATAAAATTAACTTTTAACAAAGTCTATATTTATTTAAATAAACTGATAATTTAATATTAAATTTTTGTTCTATTTCTTTCTATTTTAAGTACAAAGTATGCATAAGAATAAAAGAGGAAAACATGCATTTAATTAAAACGTTAGAATCGATAAATGGATATCTTTGCTTTCTTTCTTGTTTTAAAGTTTTACTTTCTATTAAAAAGTTTTAACTTGTTTTCATTGTAAATTTATACTAGTCTGACTCTGTTCAGCACGTGTTTCCAAGAGTTTTCCAACTTAACTAATTCAAAGAAGGCAAAACACACTTATTTTTTTGGATTTTCCTTTTTTTTTTTACATTTGACAAATTGACAAACAATATAATAGAAATCATCGGATAATTAATTACTATATATAAGTACAGTATAAAAAAGAAAGTATAGATCAAGTTGTCTTGAAACTCTCTATCTATCTCCATCGAATCTTTGACAAGGATCCAAAAAAGAGGAATATAAGCAGCAGAAATATAAACAAATGTTCAAGAAGAGTGGAATTCTTTGCCGGATGTTTAGAGATTGATTGATAGAAGATTCGTGGATTAGTGGGAAAAATCGAAAGTATTTGAAAAAATAGCTTGAAATTATAAGGAATTGGGGGAAGGAAAATTCTCAAAACAGCAACTTCAAAAGCTGTTTTCCGGCTATAAAACACGCGAGTTTTGCAGTTGTTTGGCAGATGCAACAACACACATTACACGGCCGCTTCATCTTTTACGATCGCTTCGTTTCCGACCCCCTCCCTCTATCTTCTCTACTAAGCACCTTGCTCGCCCTTTCTACCCTTCTCGCCCTATGATCGTCGCTCCTCCCCACTTCTCTCTTTCGTTATCTGATTGAGTATAAACTCAGAGATGAAAGAAGTGATATACAGATTTCACTTCCTTTATTCCTAAAGATTCGCATCACTCGACCCGTATTTTTTTAGAATATACAATTTATATTCGAAGGTGGGAGGGCGCCATGAAGCTGTAAAAGGCTAAAGGAGTAGGTTGGAACTGGGAGGTGACGGTTCCTATTTAACGCCCCCCAGTCATTTACTCACTAGTGGAATGATTTATTTGTCATATATTCTTTGAAAGACTACTATTCAACAATATCCTCGTTCTAAGCGCCGCGTCACGCCTTATATTTTTCATATAATAGTCTACCTTTCGTATAACTTGAACTTTAAGTATAAATATACATAAAAAATTAGGTGACTTAAACAGCAATAATATACCGACAACAGATGTTAAGTCATACTCCTCTTCTTTGACTATTGGCCTATGTAAATAGTCAACTTAACCGTTAAAGAGCGGAAAGGAAAAAATAAAAAGAGAATAAATATAGAGAGGGGAAGAGAACCTAACCTAACGGTAAAGCGTCATTGGTGTTTTTTTTTAAAAAGTCACCGTACAGCCTGGCAGGTGTTTGGCACGTGTTTCTTTTTTGGTTTATTTCATTTTATCTTATTTATTTATTTATATTTTTTTAAAAAAAAAAAGAATATAAGAAAAACTTTTTAGTTTTTTATTCTATCGAAACAGTTCAATAACTTTTTCTATTCCAAAACGCTCTGATAAGAGATAAGATTGGTTGTAAAATTATTAAGTACGAACAATCGCGGTAGCATTAAATTTCCTAGGCATATGATCTGCTAGCAGCCCGCCCGCCTAGAAAAGGATCGTCCCCATTTTATCTTATGGTATCTACCATAAACAGTGGCGCCCTCTAATAACAATTTTCATGTCTCTACTATCTATCGGATACGCTTGATAGGTTGTAATAGGTAAGAAAAAAACAAAAGTTTGCTATTTAAAAGTTACTAAATGCTGATAATCAGAAATTACTATAAAAAAAGTTATTGAATAATACGATAAAGATTTTATGAACTTTTGAATCTGCTATCTTATTGAAGCCATTGAATAACACGCATAAAACCGGTATAAACAACACTAGAAGCTATTTTTTTAAAGCCGTTTTATACCCAAATTTTATCCTTTTCTTTGATTAAACAGACAAATATATTTTGATGATATAAACTTGACAAAAAACATGAAATAAGCAAAAATTTACGACATCACTCGACTAAATGTGATAGCTAGGCATTTTGGGCAATTAAAATCGAATTAGCTCTTAGGGTTAGGTCGTTGGGGGGTAAAGGAATAAGAGAGTGGGAGAGAAAAGGCTTGGAAGGAGGAGAAGAGTTGAAAAATGCCCGTAGGCTATTCTATCGCATTCCAGAATCGAAAAGAGCTTCCCTTTCCTTCTCTTTATATCATACATCTCTAACCTTCCTATCGACTACCCCCCGTCCCGACTTCTTTCTTTCTTTCATTCAATTTTACTTTTATCTCGAGCACTTTCACTCTCCTCCCATCTTTTTACGAAGAGACCTTGGCTCTAGAAATTATTCGAAAAGCTCTCCGGCAGCTCGGAAGCCGCTGAATGAGATTTTTTTTATCTCCGTCTCGACCTTTCTTGCATTAAACCTACACTACTGATGGACCGGTACTCTTGATAAGGATTTTTACTGTTTGTATTGATAAAAGATAGCTTAATTTGCTGATTGATACCGAAATCAGCGTTAAGTAAGTTTTTTTTGAATCTTTAATAAATTTCTAAGAATAGTAAAAAAGTTTGTACAAACCGTTGAAAGGATTTTGAGAGTTTGCTAATAAATGACATAGGAAAACACAAATTAAAGAGTAATAATGCATATCCAGTTTTCTTTTCGAATTTTTAAATTATATGCAAGTTTGCTCCATCAATCATCTTTTTCTGTGAATATAATATAACACCAAGTTAGTCTCTATCTCAGCTATCCGAATGCTCCCATACTACTGGCAGATCGAGAAACTAGGCCAATAGTATAGGTTTAAAAACTGACATGCGCACTGGGAATTCGAGTGTTGATTGGATAGTTTACATTTGCCGCTAGATATTCAAAAAAGTTTTTGGGGTTTATTCAAAATTTGTATTCTATGTTGCATTGTTATCAAAGTCAAGAGGGAGCAGGTGCCTTGAAATCTAGGTCGTTATGTATCCAAGATAAGAAAGGCATACACCCTATATTTTTTTAATAGAAACATATCAACAATACGCCATCTATTATCAAATTTACGTATTATTCAAAACAATCAAAAAACATTTATCTCAGCCAAGTATAAGTTTTTTTCCAAAAAAAAAGAGAAAAAAGTAGAATAAACATATTTCTCTAAGTCAAATAATGTAACTTAAAAGTTACCGATAAATAATTATAGGCCTAGAAGGCAAGATCGCTTTTTAGATTATAAACGCGTTAGCGATATAATCAGTCAGTGTTGCATAAAAACTTTTCTAGTGGCTCCTTTGCAAAAATGTTTAGCATGAAAAGAGTAGTGTCTGTATAAGTAATAGTGTATAAGCAATATATCAGTGTATATATATATATATATATATATATATATATATATATAGCAAAAAGGACATTTTTTAGTGTACATGTGTGTCCTTTTACCTCATTTCCAACCTTGAAAAAAATTGTTTTTTTACAGCTGATAAGATAATAAAATAAACAAATTTTTTTTACTTCATAATTTAAATTGAAAAATATAGACACATAAAATATATATTATCTCTTTCATCCATAAGATTACACTGCTATTGATTCAATTATACTTAAAAGTTACCTCTTTTCCTATATAAGGCATATAAGGAATTTATATAATTCATATTTTAATATTTATATATACACTGTATATATAAATATATAAATACTCTTCAAGATTGGAAAGATTAAATAGAAGAAAAGTTATTTTTTGTTAGAAAACTTGTTTTAGACATTTTTAACAATAGCTATTGTAAGTATAATCTATCTTACAACTACTTTCTAATTTTAAATAACGTACCTATTCATAGATTCAAACTTATTGAAATATATCTTTATAGTTGGTTTTACCCTATTTTCTTTAGCTAATAAACTACTTATATAATAAAATTTAACGTTAGGTGGCGTAGTGGTAGGCATGTAAATAAGGTTTTACTGTATTGTTTTAATAGGGAAGGGAGAGGGGGAAAAACCTGTTAGAGACGTTTATATTAAAGTTATTTCACAGATTTCTTCGGGTTGACCATTTCCAGATCCGAATAGGACTATGTAAACATCATTACACAAATCATTCTGACATTCGCATATGTACTTGCACTTTGTTGCTTCCGCAGATTCGCTAGTCCATGTGCCAGAGCAGATCATCTTCAGTTTTGGATTTGTAATATCCGTAAGATATATAGTTAGATAATTATTTGAATCGTCTAGAAGATTACGTTCACTAGTAGAATCGTTAAAAGTAACAATAACTTGTAGAAACTTCTTGTTGAAGTTTTTTGGCTTTAATTTTATCAAGAAATAATTAGATTTATCAAATTTAGTACACGTTGTTTCATCTTTATCGTACATGTAGGCAAGTTCTAAGTGTTGATTACATAATGTATTATTGTTTAAAGTATTATTTGTATTCGTATATATGTCAAATGAATACGTTTTAACTTTCTTCTTTTTCTTTGCTTTATCTATTAATTAGAAAAAAGTTGACAAACAGTTATTTATTGTTATTGTTACGTAATTGAATTGTTTGTCTTTATTTTTATCATATAAAGTAGTTATATATTTTTTATATATTTTACCTGAAAACCAGTTAAATATTTGAATTTCATGCGCTAAAGTTGTAGATTCTGAACCAAAGCGAACTTTATTTGGGTCCAATTTATTACCAGTAGAATTTATTGACAGTAATGTTTCTTGTTTGTCAAATAAACGACCAAATTGTATACTCTCGCTGTTCCATTTTACAAAGAATTTCTCCCATTCTAAGTATTTTGGAGACAAAGAACCAGAATTTGACAAACCGTTATACGTATTTAATACTGCTGTTTCATTGTTAATTTCCAACTGAAAAATAGGTAATAAAACGATTGTTAATAGGTAATTTAGAATATTTGTCTCTTATCTTTGTCTTTACTTTAATTAATGTTTGATTTTCCTTTAACAAAATCATTATCAAATTACTAAAAGTATTCTCTTGAGCGTTTAAACTTTTAATACTAAATTCTATTATATTCCAATCTTTACTTTCAGCTTTATATAATCCATTAGAATTTAAGGAATCTATTCCAGAATAGTACGAAAATAGTGTATCATCTGGAAAATATTAAGATATTTACCAAATGACCTAAAAGATTTAATAGTAAATTTATCATTATAATGAATTTTTTTTTGTTACCATTATTAAACATTCCTATAAATACTATTCCAACTTTATCTTGGTCTTCGGACCAAACTTCTTTAACAGTTAATTTAAACCATTCAATATTTTCAAGTTCCTTATCAAAGCAATTTATCTTATAATCACTGTTTCTTTCGATTTGTAATAGTTGTTTGTCGCCATTAGACCATAATATTTTGGCTACTTTTATTTGAATATTTCCCATAGCTGTTATTGGATTTATTATACAGAATTTAAAATTGGACACTGATTGAGAAAGATTAAATAATAGATTTATTTCGCTATCATTACAACTCAATCTCTGACATTTTGATGATAGCCAATAGTCAAAAGAATAATTCTGTATTTGATTGCAATCTTTCTTATCTTCAGTACTAATATCAGTGCATTTTGTTATTAGGTTACTTCCGTAAACTTGGCTCATTTTCTCACCATTTTCGCCTATAAGTAATAATAAATATAAGCGACTTATGCATATAAATATTGAAGAGAAAGGAAATTTTTAAGTTGAGACTTACTCGTGTAACCCCATACTCCTATCTCCCCAAGGGCAAATTCGAATGGGTCTGGTTCGTAATATCTCTCAGGAGAAAAAACAAGAGAAGATTGATCTTTTAAATGAACTACATGACATCTATAGTCATAATCTTTTTGAAGATTTAGGAAAAGATTTTTCGGAGTGTCTTCTTCCTTGAAAGTTACTCGAATTTTCTCAATAAAGGAAGTTGTATTTGAATTTCTTGTGAATCCTTGACGAAAGCAAATTTGCTGAATGTCATATTTTCTTGCAAATGTTACAGTAATATTAACAAAAGTACAAGATTCTTCTAAGCCGCATTTTATTACAAATGAACTTGGTTGCTGCCATATTGGGCTTAGTGAATTTTTACATTCGTAAGTAAAATTAAATTCCTCAAATTCGGCTTTACTCGTATTGCAAATAGCGTTATTTTCCAATGAAGCAAAATTTTTAAAAGCTCCATCTGTTAAAGAAGATTATAATTGAAAATATATTATATAATAATGATTTCTTGAAATAAAACAACCTAAATTGAGTTGATAAGTTTTCAATAACAGCGAATATATGAATAATATTATAAAGAGAAACATTGGTCTTTCTCCTTCTTCTTCCTAACGTTGAAGTAGCAATGAAAACAGTAAAAATGAAAAAGAGAATACAAACAATCAAACTTCAATTAGTATATGAAATACAACTAATTGACTTCATTAAAAACTGTAAAATGAAAAAGTCCGCTCAAATGATTTAATTGTCTTCTTTATTCTATCTCTTTGATGATTTATTAATTATTAATTATTAAATGAAGGTTACTCTTAATTAATTAAAAATAGTTGAAGGAGAAAAAAAAGGGCACAAACTTTTTTTTTTAAAGAAACAATATAAACTATTATTCTGGAAATAAGATAGTAAATTACCAGGATGATTGATGATACGAGTCTATCTATTGGCAGTTTAATAAATCAAAATATTTTTTTTCTTATTTTTTATATTGAATATACAGTATTTTAAGAAAGATGAATTCTGCAAGATGGTCATCTTCAGTAGGTTAATTCGAGAGATATCAAAAACAGACTTTTTATTCTATGAAATCATATGTTATATCACATATATGAAATGGTAGATGATTTACTTTTGTATACATAATATTAATATTATTGCAATTGTCTTCAACACACGTACAAGCAAATGAACAGGTTATTAAATTACCCGCCCCTGTTTGACTATTTAATTTACATATAGACAAAAAATTTGAAGAGGTGCGTACAAGAACTACAATATTATTCTGGTTTTGTCTATCGATATCACAGGCATCAGGTAAATCCTTTACAGTAATTTTTACTTTAACAGTTTCCCTATCTGACGGTAAATTATTGTGTTTAACAGTCATTTTCACCCAATTGTTAAATGAAATACAACTAGCCATATTTCTATCAATTAAATTTTCAAAGTGTTTCTTCATCAGACAAGAAGAAGGACTATTAGCTTCAACTGTAAAATCCTTATCCAAATCTGCGGCTAAATTTAGAGCATACAAAAAGAAAAATTATCACAACGTTATCTATTGTATTATCGATTAATTAATTAGGAGATTTTACCTTCAAACCAATCAAGGAATCTAATTTCAAAGATATTTAGCTTATTTATTGTTTTAATTGCCAAACTTTCCGGTAAGAATGGGCCGTCTTTGTCTATAGAGAGTATCTCTGTTTCATTTTCTAAATCATCGGAAAGTATTCCAAATCGTACTTCATCAGACCAATCAATGTAAAAATTTACCCATTTGTTACAACTTAAATATGAATTTTCTGAAGTTTCTTCATCACCATTAACGGATAATATATATCTAGGTGCCGTTAATTTTTCCATAGTTAACTTTAAAGAAAAACTCTTTTAATTAATAGATTAATATAATTATCTATAAATCATCATTACGGTCATAATTGGAGCCAATTTTTCGTATAAGATTATATAGAATCCATTACAATTTGAATGGGATCTTAGAGAAAATTTTGTAATATTCCAGTTAGCAGGTCTAGCTTTGTAAAGTTTATATTCATCTTCACGAGCTTTTATTGACAACGAATTTCGCTCTATTTTATAAGGAAAAAAAGACATGAATTTATACAAAGAATCGTCTATATTAACGGTCTACCAGATTTGATTACTGCTATCCAATCAATTGTCCAAATTTGGGGTATTTCAACACCTGAGACAGCTTCTGGAGTAAATTTAACCCACCTTTCAATATCTGATCCATTATAATTTAAACATTTGACGTTATGAGGTGATGAGTCAAGATTTATACTCTGAGTATAGCCTGAGCTCCAAGTAATAAGCCAAAAATTGTATTGACGATCGACCACATTTTTAGCGCATATTTGGTCAGGCCTGATTGCTTCGGTTAATGTAACATTAAATTCAAGACCATCCACAGGGCAAGACGGCAATGGACAGTTTACATCGTCGTCGGTAGGTCCATATTTTATAATGTTGTTACATTTTGGAGATGGTATTATAGAAAGACAACTATCTAGATAATTTCTTCCATACTCTTCGGCCGGAAAACTTGTTATTTCGGCTTTACAAATAAAAGAAAAGAATAATAAATAATCAGTTGACTTTCCTGAAACAAAAAACAATTAAACGGAAGAAAGTACACCAACGGTTATGTGCCCATACGCCGACTTCATTAAATCCAATATCATTAACGCTTCCAACAATTGTCAACTCTTTAACGTAAATTCTGATTTTATTACAATGGACAAAGTTGATTAAATGACATCGATACTCGTAATCATCCTCCAAGTCAAGTTGGCGAGTTTGACCATTACACTGGACATCAACTTTTTTGATTGCTTTTGATTGACCGATATAAGTGTTTCCGTAACCTTGGCGGAAACATATCAATTGCAGATCGTAGGAAGTTTTAAAAGAAATATCAAAAAAGCTAGTATGGCACATGCTAGAGCAATTAAATAAGAGAGGATTAGGATCTCTCCATATCGGCTTTAAGGCATGAGTACAGCTATATGTAAAACCATTTATTGTTTTTACACCAGGTGAAACAGATAGGCATGTAGCTCCGGCATCCACAGAGGCAACGTTTACGAAAGCTCCATCTTAAAGAAGCATTATACATTATGAAGAAATAATAATAAAATATAATTAACAAACTTGTGTTAAATTGAAGAGAAGAGCGGAAATTTAAGATAAGAATGAAGAGAATTTTCATCTTTCTATATAGAGACCTATCTAAATCAAAACAGCAGCTTTCCTTCGACCCTCTATTTCTAACTGTCAATCACCTTTCTTTCTTCCTCTTTTTGTCCATCTATCTAATGGATCCGATAATCTTTGTGAAAAGTAAGTCATAAATATTTAAGAAGTGCATATTTCGATATAAACAATTGAATAACTGGAAAATATAGAAACAATAAATTGAGAATGATCTTTTTTTTCTGTTTATGAGTGTTATGAAATAATAAAAGACCTAATTGTTTGAAAATTCATTTATATACAGTATATATAAAGTAAATGTATAGAGATAAATTACTGATTAATAAGTTGTAATACCTTTTCCTTTTGTAAAAGTTCTAGTAGTGTCATATATTTTAATATATTAAACAATTGTTTGTCCAAGTTCTTTCTAATCTTTTCTATGTTCTCCGTTTCTATTTTATCCCGTTTACTGTTTATCTCTCTGTTCCTAACCATTACCGTAGAATATAAATAAATATATATATATATATATACTGTATATACTGTATATATAGGTTTTTAAAGGAAAATCTTTATAAAAATAACACCAGACAGAATATCTTGTATGATAAATGCTGTAACAAAATGATAAGATTTTATATAAATATTCACATGTTATATACAATTGAAACATTTTAAATATATCTATTTTAATGAATAAACTATATTTAGAATTGTCTATTTTTGTTATAATATTTATATAACAGTATAATAAATTTGTATTGGGTTCTTAAACGATTTATTAATATTTTTGTTCGAGTTGATCAATTTTCATTTTGATGTGATATAGTTATAATCTTATTACTTTTGTTCAATTTTTAGAATTAGGTCAAAAACGTTCAATTACGTGCTTTTTTATTAAAAAATTTTCTTCTAATATACCATCGGCTAGATGTCGTTAGTAATGATTTTTGTATTTTTTAAAAAAATTTGGTGTGTACTTTATTCCTTTGTTAAAGCTGTTAGTCATACACCTATCCACTCATAGTGTTCCAGCCCTGAGTGAACTGAAATGTTTGTAGTCAAGCAAAAGTCTCTTATTCAATATTGCTTTAAAAAATGTTCAATTAAAGCGCCATCTGTCATTTATAACTCATGCCCTACTTTTCAAATACAATGGCTATGACACAGGGTGTACAAAGGACTTGAAAAGCATCAACAACTAGGCCCATGAAACCCGTAGTATTAAAAAATAAATAACGGCCATAAAAGAGTATTAAATCATGTTTTTCAAGTCTGCTTCTGTGTTTACGTTGAGTATTTTAGAAAGTATACCGAAAATACGAGGTTTTAAGGAGAAAGAAGGATAAATTATTCTCTTAGCATAAAGAAAAATCTATCTATTTATCTCTACATCGCAAAGTGAAGAAAGAGAAAAGGGAAAAAAGGATTTAAAAGAAAAATAAGATCTACTTATTCGTCCATTTTTTCCTCATTTGATTATAATTCCAATAGAGACAAAAATAGACATTAGTGTGTATATATATGTTTATTTGCGGTCAAGATAGAAAGGAGAGACAGACGTCGAAAGTTGAACTGTATTTTTATCTCTTTAGTTTAAGATTTTTGCTTGTATAAAAGAAATAGAGAGATTATGACTAATGTTACTAATACTTTAAATTTACTTAATGAAACAACAACAAATTTGTTATTGACTGCCGTTTATAGTACTTTTCAAGTTGAGAATACAACTCGAATTGTTGAGAAGAGCTCGATAAAAGATCCTAGCAATAATGATGATAATGGTGATATAAATGCTGGAATAATTGCGGCTTGTTGCGCAGGAGGACTTGTAGTTTTATTTGCTTTCGTTTGCCTTGTACTTCGATATAAATGCAGGTTAGTATCACTTATTATAAAATATAGCAAATACAGTATATGATTGATCAGTATATAAATAGAGATGTGCACTGTATATTTCATTTTTCAAGATTTATCGATTAGATATCCATTGCTTTTTGAATTCAATACTGTTTTAAAGGATGCCAGCAATACCGCTAGGGGTAAAATGGTTTACATGTATTGAACAAGAGGATAAATAGATGTAGCTAAGGTGAAAATATATAAATTTTATAGTACATATATATGTACATAAATCTAATATATATGTATATGTGTCAATGGGAGTAAACAGCTTATGAAATAAGGTCGTTTAGGACAAAATACAATCTATTTCAAGGTTATAACTATCGCTTTCAAACAGAAGTGTATCGACGCCACTAAAATCCAATAAGAGACGCTTCCAAGAGAATTTTGATAATAAGAATTTCGTATTTGAAGATGAGACTTTAAAAATTGAACGTCCTCTACCTCCAGAACCAAAAAACCATATTGAAGTATTAGAAAGAGCAGAAGAAGCTATTGAGAGTTTAGATTTATCAGACGGTATCACAGAAAAGAAAATATCAAATAACGATCGTAAAATTAACGGTGATATCAATCTATCTGAAAAAAGTAACCTGTCAAATGGTGAAACCGTGGTTGAAGTTCACAGAGAACTAACGGAAAGTGAAAAGAATCTAAGGGACTTAACAATTACACCAGACGAACTGGATTATCAGTCCAGCATAAATGAAATAGACAAAGTGTTAAATAATTTGGTCGATGAAGAAAGCATTTAGGTGAAAGAAAATAAGAAGATAGTTCTTGCCTGAAATAAACTACGGTTCCTTTGTTGACAAATGACAAACAATTAAACCGATTAAATGTCTTCTCTAGTTAATCATATATATATATACAGTATATATATATATGTTTGTGTGTGTATTATAGGGTTCCCCCCTTCTGATTTCTTTTTATTTTAAGCTATACTATACCAAAAAGAAAACAAACACTCTTTTTTTTAAATTAAATATTCTTATTCCTTTTTATAATGTGTTTTATTTGTATTGTAGCATTTTTATTTTTCTTTTACCTCATTTTCTATCAGTTTTTCTTTTTTAAGTACGTCCGATCAGTTATTAGAAATGTCTATATAAAAGGTTAATTAATATTCTTATTGAGCTTTTTTACGAAGCTATTTGTTACTCTTTTTTTTAAAACTATCTAAAAGTTTATTACTTTTTACCGAAAGATAAAAAAATTGGAAGAAAAGAGGAAAAGGGTGGAGAGAAAGCCTTCTGTCTTATATAAATGATTTAGGAGAAGAATTCTTTAAAGATTATGATACTGTTCCATTATTTTTCATTTTTTTAATTCTCTCCTCCTCTCTTGTTCTGTGATCTGAAACAAAGAAAACTTCAAGTAAAGATATCTCTTTTAATGAAATTCCGAGAAATATTACTATTAGGTTTCCCAAAATTTTTTCATATAATACTTTTTAGATTTTAGTTAATGACTGATAAAGAGACTCTCTTAGTGGAGGATTTCCTTAATAGTGAAGAACATCTAATGCATTTATTCATTTATTCTAAAACGAACAGCTTTTCTGTTTCGTTTCTTGCTTGTTGCTCCTTCTTCTATCTGCTTGTCATTATATTTCTATTTCTTTTCCTTCCATTTAGTTGCCTCTATCTTTCTCCATTTTGTCCTTCCCTTCTTGTCTCTTCCTCTCTTTTTTACTTCGTTAAATATATTACACTATAAATGTATTTTCCTTTTGCTACATTGATTAGAGTTTCTGTTTTCATTTTCCGAAATTTGCACTCAGAGCACGGTCTTCAAAAAACTCCAGCCTCTAGAATTTATCGTTATCAGATTTCATTATTCAATATAACCCTTACTGATAGAATGATACTTTTTCCGATGAATGGCGTCTGCTCTAGTAGGCTAAATTTCCCTATTTGTACAAAACGACAAAAGAGATTATCGTTTATTTCGATATAAAAATTTTGGAACTTCATTTCTATTTATAGGAGCAATGTCAATTGATTTTAGAATTTCATCCAAATCTGAAATAATTTTACATGAAAGGAAAAAGAGTAGAACAATGTTTAATCTTAAATCAATCCCTTTTTCTCTGTTTTTTTTTAAAAAAACAAGAAACCGAGCTTCTATGTATAATATCTAGATTCATTTAAATTGTTACGTCATCAACTATGGTAACTTATTCCTCTATTGCGGAATTTTATAATTCAGATTCAAATTTTGCTGTCTTTTTCTTATATATAAAAGCAAGATGAGGATAATGTTATTCGAGTGGGCGTGAGAAATGAACATTGCTGCTTACAGTCTGTTCTGGGCTGATTGTGGCAGAAATTATTCATACAGGCAGAACCATATTAAGAAAATACTTTCAATGCCATAGACTGGTCTAATTCTTTTTTCTATATACAGTTATATAGATCTATATTATCCGCAAATCGTGTTCTCTTTTCATATTTAGTCCCCTCATGCTAAGTTAAATACGTAAAATAGTTGATCTCCTTACAATGTTAATTAGACTAAAAGATTACGGAATTAAATATAATAGAATGAGGAATTACGTTTTATCAGAGATTTTTAAAATTCCCCCCTCCATTCTCCTCCGCTCTCTCGCTTTTTAATATTTGATTATAACATTCTTAAGCTGTTAAAAACACCCTCCTTTAAGGATATACGCATCTTTGATGTAGAATAGGGATACTCTTCCCTTCGTATAACCTAAATAAAAAGGTTCAGACTTACTAGATAAGCGATTTTCCTTTTTTTGTTTCATTTTTTTTACATTTACTCTAAAGCGCCGTTGTCGAAAGAAAATCGGATTATGGAAAACTAGAATGACGGAATATATATAGAAAATTTATAGAATAAAGAAAAGTAAGCAAAAACCTCTTCAACTTTCATTCTAAAATGCTCTAATTTAGTCATTTATTCAAGTTTTTTTACTTTCTAATTGATTAATGTCTTATTTAGAAGATGTTTGTAATATGTGCTCCTTAGTATACACTGAATTGATTTCCGCAGAAAGATGTCGCCACCTATACTTCAAGGAAAGTAACAAATCAGTGTGTAAGAGAATATAAAGTAAATTCTTTAAACGTTCGGGTAAGCTGTGTGCTCGTACGAAACCAAATATCGGAATATGCCCTCAAAAAAACACGTTACAAAATAAACTAAACTAAGAGAAAGAATTAAAGAGCAAGATGATTTAGTTGATGAAGATAAAAGAAGGAAACATTTTGTTTGACCTCTAAAAGTCACCTAGGTTTTAACCTTTGATATTAGGAAGAGAGGTGAAGTTAACCGGGAAGAAAATTCAATCGATAGATTAGGAGAGAATACATTTATTTTCTTTGAACAGAGAGAAATAGGAAAAATCTAAGAAAAGAAAAACAAAATAACATTAAATTTTATTTTAAAGGATTATTTAAACCGTTCTTGTTGGATTTATAATCGTTTTTTCATGTATAGCATCTCCTAATACAATAATCCTACTATCCTAATAGTAAAAGTAGAAAAAAATCTGCAAAGTGGAAAACCTAAGTAGAGATACAACTAGAAAATTAACAGCAACAAGAATACTTGATGTTTTAAAACAATAAGTAATAAAACATGAAGAAGATAGGTTAAAGTTCAATGTAATATTGTCACTTAATGTAAGAAACTACTAAATAGATTAATGCCGGCAAATGTAAATAATGTATATAGTATATTCTAATATTGTCTATTATATAGCAGTCTTAATGGATTTTCAGCTTCTATTTCTCCATGTATTTGTTTTAAAATGATATCTTGAAAAGGAAGATAGAAAATGAAAAAATTCACATTTCATGATTAAATTAGTATTGGAAGAAGATTGAAAGAATAGTAAATGTTATAGAGTAAACAAAACAGAGATACGTTTTAAGCTGCAACTATAAGTAAACAAACTTTTTAAAAATACTTAGAATGCTTATTACGTAATACATCGACAAAAAGAAACAAGTTATAGGGAATAATCCAAAATTCAATTACAATAAACATTATTTTAGACTTAAAGATGTTGCTGTGAATAAGTGATAAGAAGATTTAAGAGTCGTAAGAGTGATTCTTATTCTCCTTTTATATAATCCATTGAATAAATGTTTTAGTTGATAGTAGATTGTTTTAAATAAATAAATATACAAAAACTATTCATAATATGAAAGAATGACCTATTAACATATAATATCTATTATTCGTTTTAAGTGAAATATACAATATAAAGTAAAAGACTTTAACTTGGAAACTAATCTTTAAAAATTAGCGTTTCTTTCAAATGAACATGAATGTCACTTGTTAATAGTAAAAAATAGTTTAAATCGTTATTTTTAATCTTGTAGTTTATTTTTATCTATCCCTTATTTAGATCTCGAATCCCTTTCCCTTAATGGCTCTTTCATTCTTTTCTATTATCAATATTTCGAGAGTCTTTCAATCTACAGTCCATTTATCTCTACCCTTTTTTTTATAACGAGAAGGAGTAAGCATATGTTTCAACTATTAGTTAGACTATTTACAGTGAAATCAATGTAAGGTTAGTAAAAAAACTTATCTATATCTATATCAATTAGATATATAAGGATAAATAGAATAAGATCCAAAAAGTTTGCTTGTTAACTAGATTTAGATCAATAACACCCATTTCAGGGAAAAATATCATTTTAAGAAGAGATAGATAGATAGATAAAAAAAAAGAGAGAGAAAATATTCGTGGGTGAGAACCAAAGATTACACGTAGAAGTTTAGATAGGAGGAATATAGCAAACGGAAGAAAAAGAAGAAATAAAAAACTACTTGTATCAAATTTAAAACACTTCAATTAATGATATGTTACTAATTGGTTGGTCATTTAAATGGGGACGCGAGAGTAATGCTTGGGTTAATGTTCTAAATTAATACTCTAAGGCAAATGCAGTACATCTATTCTATATTTATATATTAACACAATAGCACAGTTTATAAATACCTAGCTTTTGGATATCATCTAGCCCTATACTAAAAATTAATTTGTATGACGTATAATGTTACATTTTTAGATCATATTTATATCTCTCTTTCAAAATGGAGGATAGGAATAGCATCTTATTCGTTCTAGTTATTTTTCTTTATGGTTTTATAGGTAAATTGCCCTTTCATATCCTACATATTTATGCTATATTAACAAGAAAATGTGATCGTTTCTTTACAATATATCATCTTTTATAAAACAACCGATGTGTTGTATGATTGAAAGCTACTTTTACAACTTAATGCTATCCAGGCGCCATTTGACGCCTCAAAGCTTTCGATGACGCTTTTAAACGTTTCCCACCAGTCTTATTCTTTTTTCTCGCAGTATAACTACAAACAATATTACACAGTAAACTTTTAACAGTATGTCATATTTTCATAATAATAGGAAGTAAATCGCTGAATTTTTTATGTAGGTAATTATCTTTTGTTTTCCTTAAATTGACTTATCCACCGAATAGATAATTTTCCTTTAAAAAAATCGTTACTCTATCTAACTAACTTGTGAGATGACATTTTGAAAATATTGAATGAATGAATGAATGGTTGAACGATTGAATGAATTAATTTAAATTGTTAAAGTATAATTTTTGTTATGTAGAATATTTCTATTATTATTGTTATGTGTTTTGTATTTATTTATTCACTGTAAGACGCCATTAAAAAATATCAATTAAACTAAGAAACAACCATCACGATCGATGGTTTGGATCTGCTTAAATCTAATTTGTCATATTAAAAATAGGTTCTATAGATACTAATATATAGAAAACTTTAGATATTTGTAAAATATCCTTATCATCCTTGTGTTTTTTCTTTCGTTTTCCCTTTCGATCTTTGTCTGTGTGTGTGTGTCTGTCTGTCTGTCTGTCTATTTATATACACATATATTTATATATATATGTTTGTCATCCCCTCGCTCACCCCATCCCCCTCTCTCTCTCTTTATCTCTCTCTCTCTCTCTCTCTCTCTCTCTGTATTATTTCTATTTATTGCATACTTTTAAAATGTTACTCTTTCCACCTCTATTGAATTATTCAATAATGTAATTCAATTGATAGA